GGAGGGAAAGTGAGAGATTTCTTCCTCCTTGCAGCTTCAAAGAGGAATTTTGTGTGTTGTAAAGAAAGGAAGAGATTCAGAGGAACTTCGAGGAGTTTTTTTGGGGAGAAATTAGAGATAAGTTCATTTATTGTTGTAATTTATATGACTTTGCTTTTATATATGAATTCCGAGTTTTGTTGTGTTTTTCCCATGAGATCTGAGTAGTTTTCTCTGTCTTTCTCTTTATCTTGAGGTTTGTGAAATAGTGATTTAAATCGGTGGAGCCATGAAAATATTAAAGAAATTGTGATGAAAATTGTGATGATATCTTAATTTACTTTCAATCTGGCCAATTGATTTGTTAAAATACGAATTGATTTGTTAAAATATGTTGAGTTTACAACTAAAGTGAGGATTACATCCAAGATTCAGGGAGTTCAAAGCCCTTGGAAGTTGGGTGCAAATAAATAGGGAAATAAAATTATCGGGCGTAGAGTTGGAGATTTTAGAGTGACAGACTAAAATCCTCAGTTTGGTTATATCGTTTGGGTGCTGAAGTGTAGATGTTAGCTCTTTGGCGAGGGGAACGTGGGAGTTCCGAAGTGAGAACCGACATCCTCTCAGCCTAGCCGCAGATTCAATAAACAAGCGTAGGATTAGTTAATGTTCTTTATACTTGGGCCAAATGGTAAATAATAAGTATGCTCCTATTTGACATAATATAATTTGAACTGATTCACTTTATCCATTCACTATAATTTCTTGACGAGGAGAATGATGCTTTCTTATATATTGAATATCACATTCGAACCTTCATTAGTATATTTAGTTATTTAATAGTTATTAAAATTACATATTTATTTCAATTGCCTATTAGTGACAGATAAATAAATTGAATTTCCTTGTTGCGATTAAAGTATTGCTTTTCTAAAATCTTAGTTCGTAGTTCTAATATTACTCCATGTGGGATCAATATCTAGGACTCCATTAGAACCCTATATTACTTGAGCGATACGTATACCTGCGTTGATAAGTGTGACTTTACAATTATTGAATATTTATTACATCCATATTTATCGAATCTATAACTGTTATTAAGTTTTGGTATAGTTGATGAGGAATTAAATCTTTTAGCAGCAGTATTAAATACTTATATTTTTAAGCATATATAAAGTCGCGGTTTAAATTTGCATTCATTGATCTTTGTTCATTAGGGTTTCATTAGGGACGCTCTTGACTATGAGAATGTCTTTGCTATTGGGAATTAGGAGTTTGGAAGGTTGGTTGGAGAGCTTAAGGTGTATGTAGAGCTCTCCGGATGTGGCTATTTATAGCCATGGGAGGCCATGTATTGAAGCTCTTAGGTGCTTGGGGTTCTCTGGAGGCACCTTAGAGGATGAGCAGAGGGATTTCAGAGGCTTGGGCAGAGGGAATGAAGCTCTTCTCCATGCTTGGTGTGCTTCACCATGGAAGATCCAATGGAGGTGAAGGAGGCATGACAAGGGCTTGAGGGGATTGGGATAACTTTTGATGTGCTGACAAAGATGAGTGTTAGTGTGGTTTGACCCTCTCATGAGGTGATTTTAATTAAGTGTGTAAGTTTGTCCTTTTGTGTTTATTTTTAGATTTAATTAATTTAATTTAATTTTTAATTGGGTTTTTGTGTCATGGTAGGTCATTTGAGTCATTGGTTTGATTTTAGGGATAAAAGGTTTGAGCTTAAGTCATAAGTCTTTTCGTTTAGGCTAGGGCCTTAGGCTTTGGGTTGGTCATTTTAGGCCTTTAAGATTAATTAACTAGATTAGTTTATTTGATTAATAATTCTATTTATTTAATTTTTTTATTTGATTTTGAGTTTAACTTGGTAATTTTAATTCGTTTGGTGTTAAATTAGGTTGATTAATAATTTTAGTGATGTTTATTTATTGATATTTGGTTAGTATAAATTTTATTTTAATTTTATCGTAGTTTGGTTTAATCTTGATATTCTTATATGGGTTGAGCATTTTAAACTTATGATTCAATTTAATGTGTTTTAGTGGTAATTTTCTCTTCAGGGTTGTTGAGTTTGGGAAAGCAATTAGGTAGGCTCAAAACCTAACTTAGGTGGCCTAATTTTTTTTAATTTAAATTTTTGACGTTATGGTTTTCTTAGTTTAGTTTAGGTTTTTAGTACAAAGAATAAATTCCTTTTTAGCCTAAGATTGGCCGCATGCCCAATGGGCCTCTTTTAGATCAGAGAGGGCTTTGGGGTAGTCAACAAGTTATCACAGGGATTCCCAGGACTCTAGGCTTCATGGGTTGCCTAGGGCAGCCTCCACCTATAGGAATTCAACTTGGGCTTCTACCTATTTCAAACCTCATCTTCTCAACTAATAGTTGAGGATTCAGGCTTAAACTTATGAAACCTTAAGTGAATGTAGAATTGGTTTGGAGTTCTATGTGAGTAAGTTCCATTTCTAGGCATCTAATAAGGCCACTGAGGCTAGATCCTAGGCTTCTATAGGGAGAAAAAGAGGTCCTCAGAAAAGTGAGGTCAACATCTCTAATATCATATTAGTATAAATTTATTTAAAAGAGTATAATTAGATTTTTCATATTGGTTTTGATAATAAAGTTGTCTTTGGTGTTTTACATAAACTTGCTTCCTTTTTTGGGAGAGGTTTATCCAACACCTTTAAGTGTGCTCATTGTTTGTCATTAAATTATTTAATATGCTTTTGAGATGTGTTGATATCTTCCCGATTATTTGTGCTTTTACACAATAGATGAGATCTACATAGAAGTGAATTATATCCAATATTAGCGATAAATAAAAGGACTTAGGATGAAGCACTCCGACCAAAACTCCTCTTAACAGCTCATTATCTACCCTCTGTAATTTGTTAAGCCACAGGGAAGTTTATTTAAAAATACTCTTTAAGTGAGTTTCCTTAATTTTGATAAATTCTTATAAGGTAATATTTCATGAGCGGTTCTTGGTTTGTAATGAATTGCTCTATAAAGAGTCTAGCAAATTTGTCAAAGTTGTGGATAGTTCCTTTAGGAAGAAAATATAATTAAGTACGATCTTTGCATTTTAAAAATTGGAAAAACATAACAAATGAGAGCATTAGAGGCTCTTTGAATGTGCATGATAGTTTTATAGTGATTAATATATTAAAATAGTTGAAACATCCAATCAAAAGAATTATTAACGAGTAGCTTTAGCCCATTAGAATGGAATACTAAAGGCTTATATTTTTTTAAGAATGAAGATTCTTGAAAGCTACACCAATGAGTGGACTAATTTCTATCCCTTAAAATAGTTGAACAAGATGCAATTCATCTCATCTAATTTTATGATGAGTATCCATGGAATGAGGTCGAGTCAACTCCACTAAGGATGGTGGAAGATCACAAATTGGATGAACAATATGAGAAAAAAAGACAACCAATTCTAAGTTAAGCTATGTTGGGGATGGAACTTCAACATGATGGTAAAAAGACCTCATATCACTACATTGATCAGCTATAAATTATTGATTTTGTGGTTGATAATTTCTATGTTTTGATGTTGCCCCCTATCTGTTAATCTCTTGTAACAATTGAAGAATTTAAGCTTGAATTTATTCCATTATCTGCATACGTACCTCTAAAGTTATGGTTGTATTGCTTTCTTGATTGAAGATGGAAAGTCTCTCATTATAGAAGTATTCAAAGTGTGTTGGGAATCACTTCTCATATAATCACTTCTTCACACCAAATATTTAAGTGTGTTGAGAATCACTTCTCCATCATCCATTCAAAATAATCAAATATGTATATGAAGTTATAAAATTGCATTCTTCTCTTCAACAAGAGAAGTGTGACAATTGTTGACGGTCGTTCGCTTTAAGCTTTCTTTCAAAAATGTGAACGTAACTCTTAAAGTTTTCCCCCCTCATATTGAAAATGAGCTTTCGCGTTGAAAATGAGCTTCTAATCTAATAAATTTTAGAGAAAATCATAAATTACTTTAGTAGGTATTAATTCTTTAATTATAGTTCATTTTTTAATATTAAAGTGCCACAATAACCTTAAATTTAAATGATCCTAAGTTTATTGCAGTCTTCTCATCAAATCACTCAATTTGATTATAAATATGTCAAATTTAGAAGTCAATTGATTACTTCAATTACAAACCCTATTATTCGTAGATTGAAACATTTAACTGTCAAAAAATTTAATGGCCTAAAATAACAGATTAATATCTTAACATTATTGCACAAATAACCATAACACATAATATGTATAAAAAAAGATCCATTTACCTACATTCCCCCATTCTTATATATCTACACATTAAATATCTAAACTTTATATTTTTACATTTACATCGCTCATATCTTTCATATCACATAAAAAAATATCACTACTTTAACTTGAAAAAATGAATACACATTTTTATGTAGGGGTATGGTGACAATACATGCAAATACATAGGATCCAAGTGAAATGCACATTAATCTTTCAAAATTAAAGCTATATCAGTCTTTTCATACATATTTTCTATTAAAAGAAAATTACATTAAAATTGAAATAAACAAAAAAAAGCTAACTTGCAAGAAATATCAATTAACTAAATACCTAACAATTCCTAAATTTACAACAATGTATTTTTTTTATTTTTTATTTTTAATTCTCTCACCATTTTAAACCATTTACCAAATTACCCAAAAGTCAGTACAACTCAATCCTTTCCGATCAAAACAAAAACCCTCTAAAAATGTAGTACGCAGAGTTGTGTACGTCTGTAACCTCAAAATAGATTACAGTGAGGATATTTAGAGATTATAATCGCGTTATAGCTCCTGTAATCTCCCTGTAACCTACCTGTACCTTCTAGTAAGTTCCGCGCCTCTATTTTCATATATATATAGATAAGTTACAGAAAGGCTGGATATCCTCGCTGCAACCTATTTGCAGAACCTATTTGCAGGTTACAGACGTATTTGCAGGTTAAAGACTCTGCTTACCATATACTTAATTTTTTTCCCTCAAGAACAGCGAAAAACAGCAAAAGCAGGAGCATTCGCCGGAGCAGATTCGTAATGGAAGGGCGCCGCGGGTGCCCGCCACTCTCGATTTGCATGCCGAACTTCGGCCACCACTTTAGGCGATTCCTCGTACGGCGGCCGTAGATCTCCAATCGAAGGGAAGGAGACGATATCGAGTGGCGAGAGAAGCGGGATGGCGACCTTCCACTCGGCGAAGCTCCCCGATGGCGGCCCTACCTGAATCGATGATGGAGCGTGCATCCGCAGCCTGGTTTGATTCCGGCGAGTTTCGCCGGCGGTAGTGGTTTCCGATGCTAACGCCGTCGACATCTTAGAGATTATGATGGAATGAAGGGTCTGTGGCTTGTGAGCTTTAAAGGAGAAGGGGATAAGGGCGAATTGAAGCGCATGTGGCTCGCACGTGGGAGGAATAATGAATCACTTATTTAGGAGATTTTTTCATAGAAGATATTTTTTTAGAAAATTGAGCAAATAAAATTTAAAAATCTATTTTGATATAAATATAATTCATAAATTGAGGCATTTACATGCATACCACCCAATTTCTATAGATTTGCATATGTGACGTCGAGAGAAAATATTGCATCAGGACTACGCACGTAGAGTTAGGTGCGAAGTCTAATGAAATCACGTCATGTGGCGGTGACAGAAAAAAAAAATCTACCCGATAACATAAAAGAATATTCCTCTCATGTTATTCAGATGTTATTATGTGTTATTTAGGTGTTATTGTGTGTTATTCCAGTGTTATTAATATGTTATTGTTATTATAACATCGAGAATATTCCTATAACACAATAATACCTGAATAACATACAATAACATCTGAATAACACAAAATAACACCGAGGGGGGATATTCCGATGTGTTATCGGGCCGATTATTATTTTTTTCTGTCACATCCACGTGTCGTGATTTCATTGGACTCCGAACATAACTCTACGTGCGGAGTCCTTATGCAATATTTTTTCGCGACGCCTATGTATCTGTTTCATTTATTTTTTTTTTATATCGCATAAAATTTATAATTATTTATGCTTAAAAAAATGAAATGCTTTTTTTTCATGGATGAGTAAAGGATATATATGTAAAAATTAAAATTTAGATATTAGATATGAAAATAAATGAGAATTAAATGGTGTGTAAATAATTAGAAAATAAGGGGAAATTTTAAAATGTGAATAGTTCTTAGAAGATATTTTTGTTCTTCAACCAGCATTGTTGAAAGGTATAAAATAATTATTAAAATCTAATTATTTATTATCTTATCCAATAATTTTATCTATAAAAAGATTTTTTGCATAAATTTTGGTTTTATATTGATTTATATATAAATTCATGAAGAGATAAATTTTTCAAAAAAATCAGTCTAAATAAAATATATAAATATTATTTATTAAAAATCTATTAATGTCTAATCATTATTTATTTATTTAAATAAAATGATAATTCAGCTGTGAGCTGATTCGAGTTTATCAAATTAATGTTAAATTTAATTAATCAACATCATAAACTAATTCAACATGAAAATGATGGTGTAAGAATTATCAAAATTATTTTAAAAAAACTATAATTAATTTAATTATAACAAAATGAAGATAGACGTATTCTCCAAGTCTGAACTATATAATTTGTTTTTTGATCCCTCGTCAGGAGAACGAAGAAGATGATATGATTGGAAGAGAAGACCACGAGAGTTATGGGAGTTACGGAGTTACGGCGCAAGGTCTCCCGACCCGAAAAAAAAAAAAACCTAAAGTCATGTTATATGAAAATCTGTCCATAATGATTTGATGAAAAAACCACTATGTGCATGTCAGTATGTCACATGGCTCAAAGATGAGGATGTAACATATATCAATTCTTACACCAGTTTTGACTTTTGTGTACTTATAATTACAGGGATTACCAAGAGGCGAGCTAAGCTAGTAAATTTGATTGGGCTATTTCATCAGATGAAATGGTTAGACTAGTCCAGCGAGCTGGTTTGCTTAAATAGCCTGGTAGGTTAGCTAGCTAGTGCAAGACAGTTGGTACATAGGCAATTTAGGTTGGCAGTTCATCCTAATGGTTTACTCTGATGAAAGTTGGGTCTTTTGGATTGTTGGGTTGACCCAGACCCACTAGGCATGTTGAGTCAGAACTTTGTGGGTTTTTGATATACAATATCACATCAATAATATCATTATTTTATCTTTTAGAAGGAGCAATTATCACTAGAAGGATTTACAAATTTTTATATATAATAAGTAAAATGTAATTTTTTTTCTTATTTAATTTAGTGATGATGCGTGCCAAAAAAATTGCGGCACTAGAGTAATGAATTATTGTCTTAGCTTTGCATGAGAATTCAATACACACAGATAACATAAGAGAAGTGGGAGGAGACACCTTGACTTTTTAAGTTAAAAACGCTTGAGGAGTGGGGGGGACCACGGGGCTTAGCCTAGTTGAAATAATCTACTATAAATGATGAATACACAAGTTCATTCTTTTCCTAAATTAGGGAAGATAAAATTACAAAGTTGTATAACTATAATCTGGCTGCAGTTTTGGTGACAACATGTTGCACGAGCCATTGTTGATTGTTGTGAAGGCAGTAGTCCGTCTGAGTATTGTAGATGGTTGCTCTAGAAGCGTTGATTTGCCAAAGAAACCAAAGTAAGTAGTCACATGAGCTGTGGATCACATAGATCGTAGTGTTATGAATGACGTTCGTAGGCCACCACGAGCTGTGAAGCACAAAGACCGTAAGGGCGAATATGAATGATATTTGTAGGTCACGAAGGCCAGAGTCGGGAGCTGCATGAGCTGTGATCACATATGTCGTTTGGGAAAATATGAATAACATTCATAAGTCGTGGGGGCCGGAGTTGGGAGCCATACGAGCTATGAACCACATAGGTCGTAGGGGCGAGTATGAATGACTTCCATAAGCAACGAGGGTAAGAGTCGGGGTTGCACAAGCTGTGAACCATGTAGGTCATTGTTGACACATGGACAGTATTGATGAGCTCATGCCTCACGATGATGACTGACGACATCTGGTTGGTGGTGATCGATGGTGATTATCAACAGTGGCTAACGATGATTGAAGGGTGTCAACGACGGCTGGCAGTGGTCGATGGCAATCGGCAGTGGTCGACGACGGTCGGGATGGTGCTGAACTTCAACTCCTTCTCAGAGCTTCCAGTTCTCCCTGTAGCTTCAAGTTTCTCTCTTGTGAGGGGTGGGGCTCTATTTTATAGTGTTATGGGTGTCATTAATGCATGAATATGAATCATTTTGATTAGACGGTCCGAAGAGCTGTCCTAAATCAGTCACATGATATTTAATGGACATTTGAGTGCCTTAACAATGTCAGAATTGCACAATCCTGGACTCGTTGGATTCTTTTTGTCGAGACACTCGATTTGACTATAAACTTGCCAGATTCGACAACCGTTTGATCTTCCAAATATGTCTGAAAAAATTTCTGGAATGGTTTAATGACTTGATGCGGGCTTGATTTCACTCAGATTAGAATGACTTTGATTGATATCATTAGGTCCGTCTCATCGAGCCGGTCTATTTGATTATAAGTTTATTGAAATCGGAGCTCTGGATGAGTTTTTATCAATGTTTGAACATCACTTGCTCAAAATATTATCTCGAGATTCGTGCTTTGTCTTGAGATTCGTGCTGGATAACGAAGATTTATTGGTGGCGTATCAAGTCAATTTACTAATTTTGCATCCCCACCTCTCTCGATGTAGTTTTTTTGTCTAATACGAAAAAGAAAATAAATATTTGATGATTTTATCCATCATAAAAAATAATATTAATTTCGCCTCCAAACTTAGAAATAATGCATGTTTAGCTGTTAGATATGTAAATCCATAGTAATTGAGTGATTAAAAAAATATTATAATATGGGCACATGGCAAGGAGAAAACAATGGGCATATGGACTGCCAACTCGAGACGATTACACGTGGAAGCGTGGGACCACCATAGGAAAACTTTCTTTTGCGTCAGGATTTTTTTTTTTTTTTTTTTTTTTGAGTATTTCAAAATTAGATATATTTCTTCAAAAATTAAATCTTGTTTTAAATTTTTTGCGATATTTAATTCATGCAAAAGAAATTTAAAGTTTTAATTTTTTTTTTTGTTTGATTACTCGACATAAAATTAAAAAAAAAATTTAGTTTAGACATGTTAGCAGCATGAGCCTGTGAGAAATTAGAGCGAAGAAAAACAAGAATCTACACAAAACAAAAAAAAAAAAAACACATAAATTTAACGAGGTTCGGCAAAGATGCCTACGACCTCGACAGGTGAGCGACGAATTTCACTATTCCAGAGGAATTCAGTATATACTCATAGGATTACACATCATATATATATATATATAGATAAAACACCCACAAATAAAATTACCAACACGTCGTCGCTCCCCCAAACCCACTAAATTCCAAGAGACACCTCTTCAATTCCAAGAGACACTCATCTTCATTCCAGGAGACACTCTTCTTCATTTCAGGAGACACACCTCTTCAATTTCAAGAGACTCCAAATTCTGGTATATGAGTCAGACCTAACCTGCAAAATTTACATTACATTTCTATTTTGGGGTATTTACATACGAACCACCTAATTCCTATGTAGTTACATATCTAACCCCTAAATTTTTTTCTTACATTTATACCATCCAAAAATTTCCTCTCTCTTAAAAAGTGCCCCCAATTTAACTTTTTTTTTTTTAATTAAATACTTGTTTTTATGCATAAATAAGATGACGTGCGTAAAAAATGAATTTTAGATGGTACATATGTAAATAGATATGAATTGTGTGGTACGTATGTAAATCATCCTTTCTTTTTTATGTCTCTAATTTAATAAATAAAAAAAAATATGGATTATTTATGTGTTGCCTCGAAGGTTATTCAAAAACATAATAATATTCGTAAGTAAAAAATGAACATGAAAGTGAAATAAAAGAAGGAAAATTTTCACATATGCCACACAATTCGTATGCATTAGCATATCACCTAAACTTCAATATTTATATTTATAATTTTTTGATTTCATAATTTTATGCATAAAAATATGAATTTTAATTTTTAAAAATTAGTAATGATAATTAGTAAACAAATATCCATCCTATGACATGATCTCGAGGAATTTTTGAGCCAAAAACATTCAAATCTCATTTAAAAGTAATTCAGAACTGCAATTTCAACAAACTTATAGTCAAAATAATCGGATCGACGAAACGAACACAATGCTACAAAAATTGGTTTAATTCAAGTAAATCAAGGCCATACTAAA